GCCGAATTTCATAAGGATCGGCCGACTATATCCTATAGCTGCCATATAACTGAACGATCGGAAATGACCCAACTTTCGTTTTTTTGAAGATAGAAAGCTGGAATTTAATACAGATTCTATTTTTGGTCAGTTAATCCAACCTACAAAATTTCATTAGGATCGGCCGACTATATCTCATAGCTGCCATATAACTGAACGATCGGAAATGGTATTTGGTAGAAATATCAACTTTCGTATTTTTGAAGATAGAAGTTTGAGACTTTTTTTAGATTTTGTATTGTAATAAATTGGATTATATATTCCTATTCCCATAAGGATCGGCCAACTATATCCAACTATGATATGAGCATGTCCGTCTGTCTGTTTCTACGCAAACTAGTCTCTCAGTTTTAAAGCTATCATCTTGAAACTTTGCACACATCCTTCTTTCTTTTGCACGCAGTATATAAGTCGGAACGGCCCGGATCGGCCGACTATATCTTATAGCTGCCATATAACTGAACGATCGGATATACAAAGGACCACATGCTGTGAAGGAACGTGGTTCCGTTCGCAGGTAAGTGGATTATACAGTGATTGAAAAAATAATTGAAACGGTTGCTTTTATTTCACTTAAAAGCTTATTTTAAGTTTTAGCTTTAGAAATATTTATGAAACCCGATCTAGTCACGACCTTCTTTTTAAATACTTTTCGTCCGCAATTTTGGTTGTTTGAAAATTCAAAATTCGTTAGAAGACCTCATGTTTGGCTTAGAAAAAAAATAGAAACGCGGTCGTATTTTGTCGAAAACTGTGGTTATTCTTCGATTAAATTAAAATAAAATGTATTGTTAATAGCACAAGGAGTGCTATTGCATTAATTTACAGCAAAATCATAAAAATGGGTCGAGGAGCACATTGCACCGCAGTAGAAAGGAATTTAATTCTCAAATTAAAAGCAGAGGGCCAATACATGGGACAAATTGCCATACTATTGGAATGCTTAAAAGAAAAGTGTTTTCTACTATCCACTATACAGATAACCAAGAGAGACGTGGTAGAAGCGAGCAACTTCTACAAAATTTGACACGACCCTTATGAGGAAGTCAAAAAAAGGAACGCAAAAAGGAGAGTTCCTTTTATGATCAAGAGGCATATCGAAAGGCAACTCTGCTTTGCCAAAAACCAAGAGACCCGCCAGAGCTGGAAAAATGTCTTTTGGTCCAATAAGACCAAGTTTGATTTGTTTTCATCTGATGGTAGACGCCAGGAAACACAGCATTCGATCCCAAATACACCAAAAAGACGATCAAAAACGGAGGTGGCAATATATTGCTATGGGGATGTTTCTCTGCTTCAGGTGTTGGTCCACTTTATTAATAGGCAATATGTGTGCTAAAACCTATATAAATGTTTTCACATGCAGAAGAGGAAATGACTATGAAGTGGGAATTTATTCAGTATAACGATCCCAAACACACATCCAAGCTTGCGAAAAAACGTTTCCAGGACAAGAAAGTCGACGTCGAAAGTCAGCTCAGCCACCCGATTTAAACCCTATTGAGCATTTGTGGGTCATCCTAAAAAAACGTTTAAGTGAGTTTCAACCAAAAAATATGGAGCATTTGTGGGAGGAAGTCCAGGAAGAGTGGAGCTCGTAGGTCTGCTGCAGTTTTGAAAAACCATTGTAACGCAACTGAATATTAAAACTGAAAATATATATTTTTTTTTTTTTTTTTCGCGGTCTTTCAGAATTTGGAAATGGCTTGTGCATCAATAAGAGCATCAGCTAGCATTCCTGTATTCATCATAAAGCTTAGAGGCCCAGACGACCGAGGGGCGCTCAAGAAACGATTTGTTAGAGTATATTAAGTTATTGGTTAATTATTAAGCTAAGAGGAGTTAGTAAGGAAATTTAAAATTCTATATTTTAAATTAGAGGGACAGGAAAGAGATGTAATAGAGTAGAGACCATTGTAGTTCGAACATAATACCCTAAAAGGGTCATGCAGTGCATATGTCGAACTACAACGGCTAAGGAACAGAGGACTAAAGTTTCGAGTCCTTCTATTAGGAATGTTGAAATTTAAGCGTGTTAGTAAATGCTGGCTATCTACATCCCCGTTAATAAGGTTATGCAGAAAAACTACACCGAGCATTGTCCTACGATTTGTTAAGCTAGGTAAGTTAATAAGTAAAAGTCTGCTACTGTAGGATGGAAGCTGAAGATTTGCATCCCAGTATAGACCTCTAAGTGCAAATATTAAAAAGTTCTTTTGTACGGATTCTATGCGGTCCTTATGTACTCCATATTGGGGACTCCAGACACATGAACCGTACTCTAGTATCGGACGGACCAAAGAAATGAATAAAGTTTTGGTTATATAGGGGTCATTAAATTCTTTTGACCACCTTTTAATAAAACCAAGGACTCCTTTAGCCTTATTAACCATTAAGGAAATATGGTCGGCAAATTTAAGTTTTATGTCTAATAGGATGCCGAGATCATTAACCTGGGTTAATTTTTCTAAGGCAATCCCATTAATGGAATACGTAGCTTGCAGAGGGCAAGAACGATAAAAAGACATATGCTTGCATTTTGATCCATTAAGTATTAGATCATTAGCCAAACACCATTTTTGAAAGTTATCAAGGTCAGACTGAAGACTGCATTGGGCAGAGATGGATTTATACTGAAGACAAAGCTTTACATCATCTGCATACATAAGAACTAGAGAGTTCGTTAAAGCAGGGGGCAAGTCGTTTATAAAAAGCGTAAATAATAACGGGCCAAGATGACTTCCTTGAGGGACGCCGGATGTAGCACGGACCAGACGGGACTGTATGTTTTTAAATAAGACTCTTTGTGTCCTTCCATCTAGGTAGCTGGAGATCCACGTTAAGAGGTCTTTAGGAAAACCCAGCATATTCAGTTTACTCAACAAAAGTGAGTGATTAACTGAATCAAATGCTTTGCTGAAGTCTGTGTAAATTACATCGGTTTGATATCCCTTACAAAAGCCGTCTATGACAAAGGATGTCAACTCCAATAAGTTTGTGGTGGTGGAGCGACGCTTAATAAAGCCATGCTGACAAGGAGTGATAATCGAAGAGCAAAGGTGTTGCAAATGAGGGGTAATTAATTTTTCAAATAACTTTGGAATTGCCGATAACTTAGAGATGCCTCTGTAGTTAGCAGCCTCGGACTTTTTCCCTTTTTTATGTAGGGGAATTATAAATGATTCCTTCCACTTAAGGGGAAAAATCGAGGTTTCCAAAGATAAGTTGAAAAGTCTTAGAAGAGGTTTGCACAGAGCCCTGGCGCAGTATTTTAGCACACACCCTGGTACTCCGTCGGGGCCTGGCGAATAAATGGGTTTTACCCTTAAAAGACCAGATAATAAGTTGTTCTCAGAAAAAAACGGACAGAAAATAAGATTTGCTGCTTGAATGTTATATGCGTAAGGCTGATCAGTCAATTTAGGAGGAGAATAAGTTGTTTGAAAAATTCTGCGAATAGATCGGCAATGGCCTGATCCGAAGTCGCAGAGGAATTTTCAAACGTAAGCAGAGGTGAAAAAGATACGTGTTTACGCTTAGTGTTTACAAAATTATAAAACTGCTTTGGATCCTGAGTAAATTGAATCCGGCAGCGGTCAATATAATTCCTATAACATTCAGCGTTATGCACGGTAAAATTCGACCGAGCTAGTAGGTATCTTGAGAAATCAACACTACTGCAGGTTTTTTTATATTTAAGTAAAAGCTTATTTTTTTATTTTTAAGTTAGCGAGGCACCTTGCAAACCAAGGAGGATTTGTTGAAGCGGACGGATGTTTCCAAGGCACACATGAGTCAAAAAATGTATTTAAAGTAAAATAAAATTTTTCTAAAGTGCCATTAAGATCAGTGCACGCCAGAATATCAGACCAGTCAAATGTATCGATAAGGCTATTAAGTTTCTGAAAATCAGCTTTACGGAAACAGCGAATCTTATTTACCACGCTCGGAGACATCTGATCGATACCAGGAGTGGTTTCGATTGAGACCTCCAGCGTGGGGTGATATGGATCCTCTGGGGCTGAAAGGGGAAAAGCTCTGGAGAGAGCGGTACCATCCGGATCAGATACAAAACATAAGTCTAAGAGCCGACCTAGCGAATTTCTAACATGATTGATCTGACCTAGGGACATGTCAAACATGCCCGCGGTGAAGTCATGGTAAGTTATAAGTGACAAAGATGGTGAGTTATCGACGTTGGACCACTTTAATTCTGGGATATTAAAGTCGCCCACCGCTACGAGTTGGTCACGATCCGTCATAAGATTAGAGACGTATCGAATAGCGGACAAATGCTGCCAATATGTGGGCGGTTCAGACATAGGAGGTATATATGAACATGTAATGTATAAAGCTTTCACGGACATAGTGATTTTAACGCAAATAAATTCTATGTCACCAAACTCTTGGGATTTCACCTCTTCAGAAGCAAAAGTAGAGTCTACCGAAATGAGGACTCCACCTCCTCTTCGCTGAGATCGATCCCGTCTAAAAGTGGTGTACTTACTTGGAAAAACTTCGGAGCTAAAGATCTCCGGATTTAACCAAGTTTCTGTAAATGCTATTATATGGGATGCAAAGAAAGAACTATCAGAATATAGCTTGGGGAGTTTGCTACGTAGCCCCCTAGTATTCTGATAGGTAAGAGTTAGTGAGGAAATTAGTTTTTTGGGTTAGTGGCCAAAGAAGAATTTACAATCCTTTCATAGTAAATTATGATAAACTAGTCAATTTAGATAAAGAGTAGTCACATATCTAGAATGTACAATATTAAGACAGTGTTATAAATGTTACCCATTAGTCACTACTTTTTCGAAATAAGTAAAGGTAAACAAAATTATTTCTTATAGAACCCACACATTTCTTAAAGAAATTGTAACAAAAAAAATACATATAATTTTTTCCTTAAAAAAATATTATTTTTCCAAAAATATACGAAAAAATATATTGGCGTTTATTTCTTAACTCGATAAAATAATATGAAAATACTTTAAAAGTTAATGTTGGCTTTTTCAAGGAAATCACTTTTAAAAGCCTCATCGAAAATTAATACATTTCCGACGAGAGTAAACTTTAGTCCCACATTTGGATTGTCGATCTCGTCCAATTTCTGTCTGATCTGCTCTAAAAAGCCTTTCAGTTGTTTGAAGCCGGTCTGGTAATGGCTCAGCTTAGACTGGAAGCGAGGTGAAAATAATAGACTACAAAGTTTAAGGTTATAGTTAAATGGTTACCTCGAGAAAGTCCCCAACGGCCTCGACCTCAATCCTTTCGGACACACATCCATTTTCATCGAATTTGGCTACAGCCAACTGACTGGCGCCACAAAGGTAGGCCTGAAGGACCCAAGAAGCACAGCGAAAAGAGGTTCGCCATTTCACATAACTTTTAACGACCCTTACGATGGTCAAAGAGCACTTCTCTAGCTCCTCGGGTTCAGTGCTGTCGGTAATTAGAATTAGTTTACTATAAATGGTCTAAACTGTATTCGTTTACAGATATTTGATTTCAACTTACAGATCCCCGAGCTTTTCGGTGTTTGTAACCCCCACAACCTCGGACGAGTAGAGTAATCGGAATTGCCCCAATTGAGCGGAGAACATTCCATACATCTGGTCCCTCTCATCTAGTGAGGCATCCGCATCGGGGAGTTTTCCTGGCTCAGCTAGATAAATATCGTACCATTTGTGTATATCCAAAAAAAAACTGCGACGGGGTCTTACCACTAAATAGGTACTGGCGTGCCTTAAATACGTAGGAATTACGAGCGTTAGCTTCCTCTTCTTTCCTATGCAACTTTAGAAAGATACACCCATTATGCCTGAAGGCCTCCAACGATAAATCGATGCTAAACGAGCTTAAAGGCTTGGCCTCAGTTAGGTTTCTTAGTACACCGCGGCAGCAAAAGACGTCAAAGTCGTGTCTAGTAAACGCCGATTTATCGACGTGCCCAGAGTAGTACTGCATCATGTCGAGCAGACCGGGATATTCGTGCTTTCGATGGACATAGGTTTCGTAGTTTTTGTCCAGATCCAAGGGATACTCCCTGTCCTCTGGCATTCGAAAGTATTTAATGGTTGAAATCGGTGACAACTTTTTGCTTTCCGGGTCGTAATGGAAAAGGTTTCGCAAACGAATGTTGCTGAGCTCCATTATTTCTTGTTTCTGGCTTCCAAAAATAAAAATAAGAGTGTGTGCACAGTTTAAAGTCAACAGCTTTAAGGATGTAGTCTCATGTTCCGGCATGAGATTCTAGTATCTAGTATTCTAGCGGAATGATTCTAGTACGGGACAGAGGTGTTACTTTTTAGAAAAACATATCCAAATTTAAGCTAGATCGGTACCATAGAATTGTGTGAATCACCTGCGCCGCACACAAAAATGTCGTTCGGAGAAAAACGCGTTTAAAGTTTAGACGCTATCGAGAAACTCATACTTTTCGGTGTAGGTGCGCTCTCGATTATGGGCTGTATCGCTGTCATTATTTGATATTTTTTTATTTGAAACATTAACAGTACATTCTTAATAAACAGTACTTTCCAAATATGTGACAAAAAAAAAAATCGATTTTTTCATCCTCACACATGAGACTACATCCTTAAAAGTAAGAGACGGAAATGCTTCTAGCAGGGGGAGGTGATTCTGATCATGAATATATGTAACGCATATATTTATGTAGGGTCAGAGATGTCTCCTTCACTTCTGGTCAAAATTATAATACCCTCTGCCAGGGTATAAAAAGATAATACAAATTATATTTAATTTTTCTACTACCTTTGCCTTTTTACATAAAAGGTGTTAGCCAGGTTTATTGCGTGGTTATTAGCTTGGCTTTATTGCTATGTTGAGTCGGAGCCTTAGCTTCCAAATCCCTATCTCTCCTTGTATCACTCGTTTTCCCAGTCTAGTCTTCCCTAATAATCTACAAGTACCAAGTATAAAAATATACATATATCCCCATCCCGAAATTTTAGCTATTTGAGGAGTCCCATTCTAGTTGGCCAACTTTTGCCAATTACACGGAACGTGAGCCAAATTACAAAATGCCTTTTGCACTTTTAATTTCTCGGCCATCTACAAAAAATAAAAATTAAAAACGAAAATAAATCTGTTTTTCCCAAAAAGCGTTTTGAACTAACAAAGTCTCTTTTTGTCACTGAACTGATTTGGAAGTTTGCCGCGGAATTCTTTACGTTAACTGCATGTATTGATAAGCCTAATAAATACAGTATTTTCAATAAATATACAATAAATTTGTGCATGTAATACAAATTTTATAAACAAATACATAAGCATTAAAAATACAAATAAATGAAATTCTGGCCAAGATTTTGCAGTTTAGTGAAGACTTTAATTTAAATTCTCTGAAAATTACATATTGAAAGAATGTCAAATAAATCAAGAAAGGAATGCTAACTTTGGGTGCAGCCAAAGTTCACATACCCTGGCCCTTATCCTTGGATCGAGTGTTCAACGACCTTAGTGCACTCGGACATAATACATCTTCTTATCAAACAACTTCTTCTCAATTAAATAAAATATATACAATTTATTTTTAACTCAATAGAAAAAGTAAATTTTCAACCATATATGTGTAAGTAACGTATGTATATGCTTATGCATGTATGTACATTACGCTAAGCTTCACAGGTGGCACCACCGAACTAGTAGCCCCACTTATCGGACTATATCTTGAGAAAGCGAATTATCCCAGATGAATGGTATATGAATAATTTAAAGTATTTTGGTATTTAATAATTTAATTTAATTAATTTAATTGAAAATAATTTTCAATTATATGAATAATTGAAATAGTAAAGCTAAAAATATTATATTTTTGTGAATTTATTTTTCTAACTATTTCGACGTTGGGTCTGAAAAAAAGTCGAGAAGAAAATTAAAAAGAAAGGAAAGCTAACTTCGGGCAGAGCCGAAGTTGATATACTACCTCTGCAGTTAAAACCGGATATATATTGCAAACATCGGATATAGTTGTCCGATCCTTATGAGAATATAATAATAAAACCAATTAATTACAATAAAAAATCTAAAAAAAAAAGAAAAGTCCACGCTTCTATCTTCAAAAATACCAAAGTTGGTATTTGTACCAAAAACCATTTCCAATCGTTCAGTTATATGGCAGTTATAAGATATAGTCGGCCGATCGTTATGAAATTTGGTAGGTTCTTTTAACTGACCAAAAATAGAATCTGCACTAAGTTTTAGCTTTCTATCTTCAAAAACACGAAAGTTGGGTCATTTCCGATCGTTCAGTTATATGGCAGCTATACGATATAGTCCTATAGCCTATAGTCCTGGTGACGCGCAGTGTATTTTAGTTCTCAATATTTCAGTCTCAGTTCTTAATATTTTAAACAATACAAAAAATTGTATGAAAAAAGTCACTTGTGATAGTTTTTAATATACTTTTTGGTTTAAAAAAGTAACTTAACATAAAATAAAAGTATATAATAAAAATATTTTTTTTAGTACATTGGGATTTATGTACTTCATTTTAAAGATGCTTCTTTAAGAGCTTGAATGTGCGGAAATGAAAAAATTTTGTTAAGTGTAGCAAATTACGTAATTATTGCCCCACACTCGATTACGTTTGTTTACATTTTTCAAAGCTGATAAAAATACAAAGATATGTATGTATGTATATGCGTATTAAGCTTCCATGCTTCTCAAGCATTTATTAAAAACTTCAACACTAGTAGCCTAACATTCTAATTATCTTTATTATTTTATGAAATATCCCGACTGTACTATTAGAATTGTCTATAGAAAGATCATTCTTATTTAAACGTACTCTTACTCTTAAGAGTAAGAAAAGTTTTCTTAGGATCGTTCTATTTTAAACTTACACAGATAACGAGTGAATTAGTCACATTTAATTATACTCGTTACAGGTGTATGAGACGTGTTAATAAACGTCAAGATCGCAAGCGTTTCATCACCGGAACACGTCATAGTTGCTGCCCTCTGATCCCAGCCCGGGTGGTGTCCAGTCTGATCTCATTCCTACGCTTGATCCCCTATTGCAGAAAATTTTTTTTTTATAATATAGCTTTTTTCGACTTCCGTTGCTCTGGACTATCAAAACGTTCTGATATAACACTTGCGAACTTGAAAAACATTTGTCTTTGCTCTGTTATATGTCCATAAAAGTCACAATGAAACATAATTTAAATAGTTTAAGCACAATAAAAACTTAATAGAAAACTTTTTGGGAAGGGATCAAACTATTTTTCAGAGTTCTTAAATGTGAGGAAGGAGAAACAAATGTCTGTCGTTCCTCCTTTTTGTTGGATTGGTTAAGCAAAGTTATATATGTATGTATTTTATTTATGTACGTGCATTGCTCCCAGCATAGATAAACGCAATTACATGAAAGAAGGGCATGTTTATACCCTTGCAGAGGGTATTATCGTCAAAAAAACTATGTCATATTTCACTGAGCTTACATATGTATGCAGATCTTGTAATATTTCACTTCTGTTGGTTTTTCTTTTTAAAGAACACTTCAAGCTGTCAACGGTTTTATTATGATTTTCTATAAAAATGGTTTCATTTAACTTTTGTTATAGTAAGTGAAAAAAATGGTTGGTATTTGATTAGAATTGCGGATTACTATAAAATGGGGACATCCGTCTCTGTGAACCTTCTGAAGGCGACTGAACTTTCTCCAAAAATATTTGCGCTCGCGATTGCATTGGCTTTTTAGGGAATTCCCCAATGTGAAAAGTTTAAGTCTTTAGTTTCAGTTCGATTTACTCAGCAGATTCATCTCGCGATAGGCAAGTTGAAAAAAATTAATTATTTAACGTATACGCTGCGCGTCACCAGATGTTACTTACAATTTTGAATGTTTACTATTGCACCTAAAAATCGTAATTTTCGTGCTTTCGTAAGTCAGAGATCTTTCTTGAAATTTGCTTAGAATAACAACCAATTTTTTTTTTTGCTGTTTGATTCAACATTTTTCTTTTTATACCTTTGCAGAGGGTATTATAATTTTGGTCAAAAGTGTGCAACGCAGTGAAGGAGACATCTCCGACCCTATAAAGTATATATATTCTTGATCAGGATCACCTCCTGAGTTGATATGAGCATGTCCGTCTGTCCGACTGTCTGTCCGTCTGTCTGTCCGTCTGTCTGTTTCTACACGAACTAGTCTCTCAGTTGTAAAGCTATCGTCTATTGAAACTTTGCACACACCCTTCTTTCCTTTGCACGCGGTATATAAGTCGGAACGGCCTGGATCGGCCGACTATATCCTATAGCTGCCATATAACTGATTGATCGGAAATGGTATAACTTTTGTGTTTTTAGAGTTAGAGAGTTCAAATTTGACATGAGAGCTATTTTTGGCAAAATATTACGACATGCCGAATTTCATAAGGATCGGCCGACTATATCTTATAGCTGCCATATAACTGAACGATCGGATATACAAAGGACCACATGCTGTGAAGGAACGTGGTTCCGTTCGCAGGTAAGTGGATTATACAGTGATTGAAAAAATAATTGAAACGGTTGCTTTTATTTCACTTAAAAGCTTATTTTAAGTTTTAGCTTTAGAAATATTTATGAAACCCGATCTAGTCACGACCTTCTTTTTAAATACTTTTCGTCCGCAATTTTGGTTGTTTGAAAATTCAAAATTCGTTAGAAGACCTCATGTTTGGCTTAGAAAAAAAATAGAAACGCGGTCGTATTTTGTCAAAAACTGTGGTTATTCTTCGTTTAAATTAAAATAAAATGTATTGTTAATAGCACAAGGAGTGCTATTGCATTAATTTACAGCAAAATCATAAAAATGGGTCGAGGAGCACATTGCACCGCAGTAGAAAGGAATTTAATTCTCAAATTAAAAGCAGAGGGCCAATACATGGGACAAATTGCCATACTATTGGAATGCTTAAAAGAAAAGTGTTTTCTACTATCCACTATACAGATGACCAAGAGAGACGTGGTAGAAGCGAGCAACTTCTACAAAATTTGACACGACCCTTATGAGGAAGTCAAAAAAAGGAACGCAAAAAGGAGAGTTCCTTTTATGATCAAGAGGCATATCGAAAGGCAACTCTGCTTTGCCAAAAACCAAGAGACCCGCCAGAGCTGGAAAAATGTCTTTTGGTGCAATAAGACCAAGTTTGATTTGTTTTCATCTGATGGTAGACGCCAGGAAACACAGCATTCGATCCCAAATACACCAAAAAGACGATCAAAAA